CCTCCCCTGCAGATGTTCCTCCCTCTTATCTCCAGCTGCCTCTGACCCACGCTAAGCTATCATCCAGGTGGCCAAGTTTCCACTCCCCCTGCCCCCCAGGAACCCTCACATCGTCCTCAACATTGACCTGGCCCCCACCATCCTGGATATCGCTGGACTGGACATCCCTGCAGACATGGATGGGAAGTCCATCCTCAAGCTACTGGACTCAGAGCGGCCAGTGAACCGGTGAGAAGGGAGCAGAACAGACCCAGGGAAGGAGGGCTCCCTGGGGAGCTGGGAAGGCCACTAGCATCAGGAACTAAGGATCTAGGTGCCCCGTGCTAACCCACGAGATAACAAAGGGCCGACCCTCTCTGGAATTCTAGCCTCCCACCCGGGACTGAGGACCCCTCCAAAGCTAAGATGGTGGAAAGTCTGAAGTAACAGTAGCAACAGAGTATCACAGGGGCAGGGGGGCTGTGTTGGGTGCCGGGGGCTTCCAGCATGGTCCCCAGCAAAGGGGACTTACGTTATCTGAGTCCTAGAGAGGTAAGATGATAACCAAGAATTCAGACTGTTGGTCACGATGGCTTTCATGGCCCTGGTGATGGGTGGTGTGACCGACACATTCCAGGTGTCCTGAACAGCAGAAGGGAGCAGCAGAAAACAGGAAAATAGGTGGGAGGGAAGATGGGTTCCCATAGGGACCAGAAAGGCAGGAGTGACCTCTGGCGGTCAATACTGAAACTTCCCACTGGCTAACAGGTCTCCATGCTTAGGGTCATCCTGGGGAATGCTGTCTCTTACACACACACACACACACACACACACACACACACTTCCAGTGTCCCACTGGTACTCACAATGACTGCCACCACCCTGGGGTCTGGGGCACCTGTGGACAGGACTGGAGCAGCTTGTTTTCTAGGTTCCACTTGAAAAAGAAGCTGAGGGTCTGGCGAGACTCGTTCCTGGTGGAGAGAGGGTGAGTGCTGGGCAGGGAGGCCCCTGCTGGGAGCTCCTGCAGCCACAAAGGCTGAAGGAGGCTGTGCTGGTGACTAGGTGACTTGGGCTATGTGTCCAAAGCCTTAGTGATGATTGGGTGACTGATGCAGAATTCTAATCTGAAGGCCACATGTCCCCTTTGAACGTATTTAGTAGAGGCTGCACAGTGTATTCATTGCTTGTTGATTCCAACTCAAGCCATCTGGAATGAAGAGCGCCTACAGACTTCCCA